TGAATATAAAATCACAACTACCTATAACGAAAGTAATCGACATGGGACGCGGAAAATATCGACAAAAACTATCGACGCACGCCCATCACTAAAATAATATCGCCGCTATGACACAACTGCAGTCACTGTGTCACTAGCTATGCGAACAAGACGATTTTAATGTGATTTTTCCTTTAAATATTACCTTATTTAATACATATATAAGTTTAATTTTAAATAATATATACGACAAATATGTAGTAGAAGTGATTTTGTGTTAAATCGTAGTTTAAAATCGTGTTTGTTATAAGTTCTATTATGTTTAAGTTAAAGAGAGGAAAGACGTGGTTCAGAGAGGTAAATATTCATTTAAATTAATAAAGTGTTCGTATTAATAATTTTAGGAGTGGCTGACGATCGTAATTCATGAGGTTAAGCGGTAAAATCGCGGTTATTATAGTGATGGGTGGTTCTATGAGTGATTTTTAGTGCTTGTGTACGCTCCTTATGTGGTTGTTCATAGTACTCTATCGTAAATACTAAATTTCTAAGTTTGTTTATGAGTATCTATCGTAGTGGACCTTTTTTCTAAGCAAACAAGGTTCAAAATAGGTTAACACACAAAAAGTAGCTAACAATTGTCCGACCAATGCCAAAATAGTTCCAACGTTATGTAAATAAAATACTCACACTCGCACATCAACCTATACTAATCCATCAAATGTCTACAATGGATTATCAACCTTACGATTTAATGATAAAGTTGAGAATGCTCTGCCAATATATAACACTAGTATATTATAATATGCATTTGTCTTTAAACAATGCACCTTCTAAACAGTTGGTAGTATTTTTTCAATACAATACTAAATAAGGCGATGTTAAATGGTAGATATGTCACAACATATCAAGTTATGCAGAACCAGTATTAACTGATCGTCGTATGTATGGATAGATCATACAAAGCTAGTCCAAGATAAAGTGGTTTTGTTTAGCTTTGAGTTGTATCCGTGTTCTCCTGACTGTTATAGCCATGTGTCACTGAAATAACAATTGGTATTTAGTATATTAATTATACCTATAATATTATAAATTGTCTGCTGTCTGTTGTGACTGCCTCGTTGGCCGAGTGGTCGCAAGTGCGACTGCCGGGCAAGGGGTCTCGGGTTCGATTCCCGGGTCGGGCAAAGTATTACTGGGTTTTTAAAAATCTCAGTAGTAGCACGGAGTCTGGAATTGTGCCCGGTATATGGCAATAGGCTCACCCCCTATTACATGGGACTCATAACATAAATAGTGAAAAGTGGGTGTTACATTGTACAGTGGCATTAAGTGCCGTAATGTGCACCTCTGCCTACCCCTTCGAGGATAAAAAGGCGTGATGTTATGTTATGTATGTATTATAAATTGTGTGTATGTTTGTTACTCAATTACGCCAAAACGGCTGAATGGATCGGAATGAAATTTGGACCGGGAATAGATTATGGTCTGTATTAACACCTTGGCTTTTTATCCCACGCAGAAGGCAGAATGTAGTTAATTTAAATTGTCATCAAATATTGAGTGTACTAACTACCAGAAATGACGTCATTACCACGTATTATTACGTCATACCTGTTAAACTTCAAAGGGGTAGACAGGTGTGCTCATATACAATAATTGTAATATATAAGGATATAATAACATAGGTAGTATGTTATTTATTCACGTTATATGTGGCTTTTGGTTAAAAATTCCAGAGGGTTTTGAGTTCGATTCTAGAGTTAAGCAAAGTGTTAGTGTAGGTTTGGGTCGTTTAGTGTTGATCTTAACTGTATTTTTTTTAATTTTGGATTTTGTGAAACTTAATGATGTTTGTTCATAATAAATTCAAAAACTAAAATTAACTTTTAACTGAATGAACTAGATTTTTGTTGCACTTTATATTTTTTGCAACAATGTCTCAGAAAGACGTGTATCTAAATCAGCTGTTTCTGACATTTTAAACATTCAACTATAAGTATCGTATATTCGCGCCGCCATTTTTCTAACCTCCAAATGATATGCACTTTCAATCCGGTCTGAAGAGTCAACTATTCGGAAGTTATGATTAGTTACGGATATCAGCTGCTTCCTGCACACAGATGTTATTTATTCATGTTTAGTTATAGCTAAAAACAAACTGGAGATTAGTTCTTTTAGAATTGAGCACAATTTTGTGTATTAGGTTAAGTAGTAAATTTAATACTGAAAAGACTTATTTTTGAGCTATGTAAAAGGTATAGAGAAACTGAAGAAAAATGTTGCATACCAATAATTTTTTTAATAGGATTTCTGGAATCATCCAACCCAAATTCATAAATTAAAAATTATTTATTTTTTGTGTACAAACATGTAAACAGTAAACATACATAACTTCACGCATGTCTCCCATCATCATCATCAACAGCTTATAAATGCCCACTGCTGAGCAAACCCTCTTCTCACACGGAGAAGGTTTTGAGCATTTAATCACCACGCTTGCTCATTGCGGGTTGGTGATTTCAAACTTATAATTAGAAATTATAAATCCAGGTTACCTCACGATGTTTTCCTTCACCGTTTGTCAGTGGTGTCTAAATAATCTTAGAAAGTACATATAACTCGGCAAAAGTCACATTGGTAGGTACTTGCCGTTGGTAGGTTTCGAACCTGCACCCTCGTGCATGAGAAGCGGGCGTCTTAACCTCCGGGCCACCACGGCCAATGTCTCCCATGGTGGTAGGCAAATACTATGAAACGATAATCGCTACGATTCTTACATACCTATTTAGTTACCTCAATAGTCATCAGTATTTTCATGCATGCTCGTCGGTTAAGGGTAAAACAGTAAACACGAACCGTCAATGTAAAAAAGTTGAAAGAAATCCCTCTATTCTTATGAGAAGAGATGAAAGGCATGTGACAAGGAAAGTGATGGACATGAAAGTAAGTGTGATAAAATATATATAAATAAAACTCACAAAAGTCAGCATCTTTACAAAACTCCGTCAATCATCGCTAATTTGTATAATACTTAAGTATTGTTGTACTAAATATGATAGCAATACATACATGGTAAGCAGCCTTAGTACACCTGCAACGCGAAGCATGAGCAAACGGATTACCTGATGGCAAGCAATCGGCGCCGCCCATGGACACCTGGAACACCACAGGCGTGATAAGTGCTTTACCGGCCTTTTGGGAATTGAGAATTTGAGGGTTGTGGGGGGATTCGGGAATTGGGGAGACCGAGGAGGAGGGGTTATTGGGCCTCCGGTAGCCTCATGCACATGACGAAACACAACGCAAACGTTATTTCACGTCAGTTTTCTGTGAGGCTGTGGTGACCCCGATCGAGTCAGCCCATTTGTGCCGAAGCTTGGTTCTCACACGCTTAAATAATCACCGAAAACCTTCAGTACCGAATTAACCCGGTAGGAAAATTGTATGATGAGTATTTTATAAAACGTCATCAGGAATTCCTTACAATAACTATTTAATACTAAAATTACTTACATAAAGAAATTGGTAACATCTTATGAAAGACTGTCACTCTCTCTCAGTCGTTTTGCACTTGGCAGAGCAGTCCAGGTCACGTTGAGGCAGTATTTGTGTTGGAGACGGCTGCTTTCCTCACGATCTCCCACCATCTCTCTCTAGTTGTGGACTGCCTAGTGCAGTCTGAAACAGCATGTCCTATTAATTGACTATACAGCATATTTTTTTTTCCTCTTTGGCAATCGGCTCTGCAATATGAAGTTGTCGACTATACTGCCAGTGTCGAGTGGTGACGGCATATTAATAAACCGTCGAACTTAACTTTGTGGTAGCTTTTAGTTGTTAGTAGCTGAAAGGACAAAACAATTGGGTTAGTAAACATAGTTACTATCTCATGGATGACATTTCTATTACGTCTGTGACACTTGAATAAGTAGTTATTAATGGTGAGGGATGAGTAAGCTGTGCGACGTCGCGTACCGCGTACGCTGCTCATGAGGAACAACCCCTGTGTGGTTTGAAACTAGTAGAGCTTTTCTCACTATATTCACGTGAGTAACCCGTTTAGTTATTAATGGTTTGTCTAGACAAATATTGGACCGTGTCACTGTCATGTTTCCGATTAGACTGATAGTGATGGTTCACTCGATAGTATAAAATCAACCGCGAGTCAGCAGTAAACAGTTACTTTCCTTATTCTCATATAAACCGTTGTCAATTCATATTAGGTAAAAAATAACTGTTAGATAATATTTATAATTAATCATGTTGACTAATCGTTTTAATGTATTTTATCCTGAATGATGGAAAAAGGGAGCAAAACGAGTCTAACTGTTATTGAACGCCATAATATTGTTATTATTACTAAATAATCTGCTGCAAGTGCCTCAAATATAAGACTAATGCCCGTTTATTCCAACCTCCTAAATTTTAAGGAACCCCTAAATAAAGATAGGTGACATTTAACGATATTTTTAGTTTTAGCAACCCCTAAGTTACAGCTAACAGTGCAAAGGGGTTAGTTTAGGTGCTACGTTATTCTGAATAACATAACATAACATCACGCCTTTTATCCCCGAAGGGGTAGGCAGAGGTACACACAGAAGTAACACCTACTTTTCACTATTTATGTTATAAGTCCCATGTAATAAGGGGTGAGCCTATTGCCATATACCGGGCACTATTCCAGACTCCATGCTACTGTAGAGATTTTTTTATAAAACACAGTAATACTTTACCCAACTCTTGAATCGAACCTGATTAAATGTTTTTTCTTTCTTTCTTTGTTTAACCCGAGATCCCTTGCCCAGCAGTCGCACTTGCGACCACTCGTCCATCGAGGCAGTCGCAGTATTCTGAATAACTCTAACTGTTAAGAGATTGTTTAATGGTGTGCGGTGAAGACATCCATGCTATTGGTTCAAACAACAACAATTGAAATTACCATATAGTCCTGACTCTAGTCGTCTAAATTAAAGTTTAAAGTCAAGTTCCATATTAACATGCCCCTTCTATCATTCCAGGAAGACATTCCAGAGCAGGGATCACTTCGAGGCAAAGGATATGAGGCTCTCAACAACTGGAGTCCAACATCGGAGCGGAGTCGACCAGACCTGGACATTATGTACAATAAATCCAGCTCTGACAGTCCACCTTTCGTCAGAATTAATAAGAGATTGGGTAAGTAGCTCGAATGTTGATGTAGATAATAATAATAAATGTTAAATTATTTATTAAATTTGGGTTTCGATTCCCGGGTCGGGCAAAGTATTACTTGGTTTTTTAAAATCACAGTAGTAGCACGGAGTCTGGAAATGTGCCCGAGATATGGCAATTGGCTCACTCCCTATTACAAGGGACTCATAACATAAATAGTGAAATGTGGGTGTTACATTGCATTAAGTGCCGTAATGTGCACCTCTGCCTACCTCTTCGAGGATAAAAAGATGTATGTAATTATTAGGCTTAGAGAGCAAGAAATACAAAACTTCCTATAAGTCAATACTTTAACAGTAAGAATTCATAAGCAGCTTTGCTTTGTACTTATATCAAAAAGTACAACATTGGATGCACCAAAATTCTTTGGAATTTACATCCTATTGTTTAGTAAAACATCAATAAAGTTCTTAACTTTGCTGCTGCTGTGCTGAGTGCTAAGTTTTTGGTCATCCCTACCTAAGCAATTGGAAAACATTTAGTCTACAAAAATATTATTCATCCAACGTACAAAGTACCCAACAACTAACGTCAAATTACCATTTCTAATTCCAGGAGGATCTACAGAAAATCTTCTGGCAAATGCCAGAAGACCGAGCCACCTGCTCCTGCCAGCTTCCTCGTCGGGTGACAGCCTGGACGTGGAAATTCGGGAGAGGGAACCTCACGCCAGGAACAGAAAGTCTAGGTCCATGGTCGCTCCGAAGAATCGGTTACAGTCTCCCATTCCCGCTCCCAGGCATACACTTCAACAAGAGGTAAGAATCATTTAAATTGCCATCATATCAGGTGCAAAACAAATACTAATGAATATGAGACTGCCCCAATAAAAATTCTAAATTTTTTACCTACTGCTTAGTTTGATTTTCATAATATTTCGAAAGGCAAGGGGTCTAAATTCTTTAATTAAGCTATTATTCCCGTGCGTACGGCACGTCGCATCCCGGCTCTAAGAGCCATCAGATCTCCACAGATGGGGCCCAATAGGACTAATGCTGATACGGAACCGCGGAGGACTTAACGGGTTACCGGGGCTTTGGCTCGATGTGCAGGTATAGGACCGGGGTGGTTTTTAGTCAGTAAGAATCTGACACTCCTTCTCGCCTCTCCCGGGCGGTAGAAGTCATTGAATGATTTTTCACCTCATTAAACTGAAGTAAGCTATTGTTAGAAGTTTCACAATATGTACTTATTAATATCCACGGAGACCAGAGTAGTACCTATAGAATTACATGTGGAGTTTATTGGTCCATGTACTCGTAGGACTCGTAACGAAAAAGTACTTTTCAGTTCGCCTCAAGCCTAGAACCTACTTTTTAAGGACAATATGCAATTATATGCTTATTTATGAACTGACTTTAAATAAACCATAATTCGCACTAAGATGTGTCTCTATTCCTCACAGGTGATCTTAGAGGGGCCAGTCAAACGGACCAAGTTCCTGGAAGGTACGAAGAAGACCAAAAAGAACTGGATAGACTGCTACATGGTCCTCACACCTACTGCTCTAGTCTTCTATAAAGACCAGAGGACGTATTACTCTTCTGTAAGTATAGAATGGACTTTTTTATAATTTACATACGAGTTTAAGTTTTGATTTTTGCCAATTTTATTTGTCGTATTTATACACATAATTTCTTTAATAAATGTATGTTTTATTATTTTTAAATAAGAATCTCATTTGAGAAACTCTTTCTTAGCGAGATCTTTATTAAAAACCCTTAACTCAGTCTAGATTTAATCTTAATTTAAATTTAAAAATGTACTAACAGTTAAACAATTCATTTCAGAAGGTATCTCGACCCCCTGGGACACCACCCAGCCCGTCCACACCACAAGCTGAGCTCGTACTGGCGTTACTCAACGCTCATGCCACGCAGTGTATTCAAAAACACACGAAAAGGTACCTTATTAACCATAAGTTAAACTGTAAAACAATTATCAGTATCAATATTAAAACGAACTACTGTTATTATAAATACTTTTAAAACCTATTATCGCAGATGTTCATTCATATCACAAGAACGGACCTAATAAAATTATTTCTGTGACACAAGGTTCTCTCAAAAGATTGTTTTGAGAAGCCTGTAACATTAACTATAATATAGTGTACAACTCAGTCAAAATCATGATTTAGATTGTGCTTTGGGCACTTATCAGTATTAGCACACATTTTAGTACCGTGCCTGGCGACTGCAAATAAGCCTGGACTTACAACTTACTCGGAGAAATTAATGTTAGAGTAGACATTATCTATATTGTTGCTGAGTAAAACGTCTGTAGTTAAGGTTGTTAATGAGTTTCTTCTCCATTTCCAGGTACGCACGATCTATCCTACTCATTGTGGGCTACGACCAGTACCTGATCCAGGATGAGACTGAAGACGGTGCCAGGAAGTGGTTCGCACATATTCGAGGCGTTATTTTTGCCCTGGTGAGTAATGTTGAAGAATTTCAATAGAATGATAATGTTTAGCCGAATTCGGTTAAGACTTAGACCTTACCTCAATCTAGTTAGAAAGAGGAGTGGAGTCATGGAGTTTCTTGCTCGTTCTTATGGAGTTTCTTGCTCGTTCTTCTCCATTCGAATCTACTTTTTGGAATGAGCACCTAGCTTCACCTAGTTTCACTGACGGACTGACTGACAGACTATTATTTATTTTGTATTTGTTGACGTCTCAAAAGTACCAAACTATGGTTTAATTGAAATAAATGCTTTGACTTTGACTTAGAGTTTCGAGAAAGAAAAATGAATCTTGAAGATTTTGTATGTTTTGGTATCCCAATTTGTCTGATAATTTTGATTTGCTGTGTTAAGAGATAGTAAAATAGTAAGTTTCCGTTGCTTATTGAGCTAATTATTTAAAATACAATTACACATAAAGACTTACTTAGTAGACCACTTAACCTACTTGGTTTCGATTATTGATTGTTATTAAAATATGCCTGATATTTATAAATAGGCTTTTATGACCTAATACAATGGAGAGTAAACCTATAGTTAAGGTCGATTGTGATTGGTAGCATCAGGTGATGAATGTCGCTTTATTTTTGCCAATAACCTTAAACAGAATCCGAAGTGTTAAGCAGTTCATAAACAAGTATTTTTAAATCCCCCATTTTTCGACAAATTTCACAAAATCCCCTAATACCATCTCCGATATTTCCTATCAATGTAAAATGCCCCAAATCCACAACGACATCCCCTAATCCTTATAATGGATAAAAATTGAAAATGATTTCGTTCAATTATCAATTAATTTGATCTGTAGACAGCAGCTTATGTATGTAGTATGCACTGCCATTGACATTGTGTTCAGGGGTTAAGGGTGTGTAATTATTTTCCTTAAAATCATAAACATATTATTTAATCTAAATACCTTATTTCACAGTACCAATGCAGTCTACCAGGAGAATCGCCACCTCCAACCTTCACGCATAACAACGCTGACGCCGACAGCCTAGGCAGGACGCCACCCACCGCCCGACACGCCATCAGGAACAAACACAAAGGTAATTCACATAATATATAACATATTAAGTACTTACATAATGCCACCATTTTATAAATAAGGTTTTTATACACATTCCGAGCTTCAGTTTCATTATCAAGATAATCACGGTGACAGTTTACACAATTTCAGACTTTAATATGAATGATGGAAGGTGTAAAGTTGTTTTAGATTTGATGCAGGTATCTATTTAGCTATTGTATATAGCGAAGTTACTGTTGTGGCTTGAATTATGTCTTAATTAATTTCTTGTTAGCACATTTTATCGATTAATCTACTTTTTAAACAGTAATATAATATACATTAAATATATAATAAGAGGATCTAAGCTTTCCAAATATCATTTAATCAAAGTAATCTCAAAGTAGCCAAAAACGTCTACAGCGCCCTCAAGTAATCTGTGTAGGTGGAGAAATTTGGAACTAACAATGTCACAAAGAAAAGTCTTTTACAAAAACCCTAGCGTATTTAGTCAGATAAAAGCTGAAACGCATCCTTCACATTCGTACGTCAATGGAACAAGTAAAAGACAATCCCAAAACCGGATTTCCAGAATCGTGATGCACATAAATTTTACGTCTGTACGTCACAAAAGAGTACATATGTAGCTCTCAAAGTTCTCAGCAGAGATCAGTATATAATATAAAGTATGTATAAACCGCAACTTTATAGCAAGCCAATTTGTTTTCTCACTACTTAGTCTATGACGAATCGCTTCCCGGTAAACACAGAGCAGTGTAAACTGTAAACCGCACTTTGATTTTCCTTATTCAGTTTGTTACTGTTTAACAACGTGTTTAGTTCGCACTAAAGTTATTAATAGATAAATAAAATATCAAATAGAACTTTGAAACTGCGATTGTAATAAAAAAAAATTAAAAAAGTGAGGTTATGTGAAAAACTAGTGAAAAAAGGCGCACTTTTTTATATTGACGTTAATGTTGTATTTTTTTATCTGTGGTGCGGTTCAATTGACGCTAGTTTATTGTTTATCATGTGGAATTGTTGTTTTTTATGCGTTTAATTAGTTGGCAACAGCTCGTTTATGATATATAATAGTGTTTGAAGAATAAAATGACTATATTATGTGGGTGTGACGGGTATAATCGAATGGATTCATGTAAGCATCTGTTATTTATAATTTGTTTAGTTTTAAACTTTAATAGAATACTCAAGGTCGATAAAAGTCGATGTGTATAATTTTTTTTTTCTGTATGAAAGTAAAACAGGAATGACTGCCTCTATGGTCGAACTTCTTGCTCGACAGTCGTACGTACGTTATATACGTACACAAAGCACCGCTAATTAGTTGCAGCGCTACACATCGACACAACTGTCATTTACACAGTGTACATGTGTGCGTAATTTCATATAACTGTATATAAAAATATTCGTCCACCACGTTCACATTGGTATTTTCATTCTTGTGTCGGTATACGTATTTTTATAATTTAATGCATAGGTAAGGTTAAAACTATTTACAATCATTGATATGACCCGACATTTTCACTGTCATTATCGTAGTGCTCGTGGTCGATTGGTTAATGAGCACGCTTTTATCGTCTTTCAAGGATCAATGATGTGGGTTCTATTCCAGCTAAAAGTTAATTTTATTTTACCTTGTTATTTTTCTTAATTTTTTTTTTGTTTTTTGTCATAAAATATAAATATCAGGCTATAAAAGAAGCAAATGAGCTGGTAAATAAAACAATACTATTTTTTATTACAATTAATTTATTTATTATACAAATATGTTGTTTTATATTCAATATTTATATCTAATAATTAATTATATACCACATGTTAAGTTTAAAGTTCTTTAAATCATAATTAATAGATATGACAATAAACCTCATAGTCGAATCGGGAAATATCATGCGGTATAGCGGTAATACGATGGCAGCAACATTTTTTATTAAGTAATAAACAAATACAACATTCTTGTTTTGTAATTTAATAATACATTAAGTAATAAACAAGTAAAACATGTAAAAAATTACACTGTCAACATAATATTTCTTGAAATGGGCGACTTTTTGTCGTTTGAACTTCCATTAATTATCTATTTTACGACGGTTGTTATAAGGTTCAATATTCAGTGGGCTGTATGATAGTAAAAAGAATGTGACGAATGCTATGGAACGATTTTAACTTTCATGACCTTTAGAATCAGGGAAACTTTAAATTAATTGAAGATGGGCGTAAATATAATATGTCAATCAAGTTCGAAAGCAGTTAAATAAATTTGTTAATGAAAAATTAAAGTGAAGTGAATAAACATGTTGAATAGAAAGAAATTATGACAATTTCTAACCACAAAACAATAACATCACTTCACCGTATGTTCTAGACAGCATTTTAATATTCTTAAAAAAATTAAACATTATTTTATGTTAATTTTAATAAAGGCAGAGTTTGACAGGCTCAATAATTGATTCCGAAATCAATACAATCACTGATCCTACAAGGCAGAAGGTTGCAATTCGTATACCTTTCTCCATCTTTTCTTCACAATATTTTACGCCCATCCTTATCCGACTTGAAAGTCTTTTCGTCGCTCAATATGATTACACTGTTCGCCCAATCAAAATTAATAAAGTCCTTAGCAAATTCTTAGCGCTTTTGCTGGTGAACCACAGATAACAATATTTTCTTCTCTGGCTTCCTGCACCTTAAACCAGAATGCAGGTGTCTCCGTACAGTTTGTATTAAAACATTCAGTGCTGTCGCTGTAGTGCGGGTTGGCAGGAACGGATCAGCCATGTGCCTGGCTACGATGTCGTAGTGCCGAGCCGATGAATTTGCCTTTGGTTTAGGCCCACGTCGACGATGTTCAACGTCACCGGTCTCCGCATATCTGTGCACCCATAACTGCATGGATCTCCTCTGTTGATACCAAACAAATAAGTATTTAAAATACCAGGAAATACTTTACAGGAATTAAAGTTACTTAAAAATAATAATAAATATAAGTAAACACAATGTTAGAATAATAATTTATAATTAAGTAGTGGCGTAAGGAATAAAAATCCCTAACCAGATATGTTTTAAAGAAACACTCCTAACAAAAACAAGTCAAGTTACAATACAATTAATAATAAATTATTAATATATCTTTATAATATTGAACTTCATAATAAGTTGCAATAATTTTTTTATTCTAGTGCAAAAATTGATAGGTGTGACGAGTTACAAAATGAAATAAATATTATTTAGAATATCAACGTAGTATCTTATTTACTCACCGATATCATTAAACGCCTTGCTATTTCAGTTATTGTTAGTTATGTTTTGCTCATGCAAAACAATGGTTTCAGCCTTTTTAAATGTTGATAGGTGTTGGAACATCTTGTAAAAATAAAAATAACTTTGCACACGAATATAAGTAGTGTAGCAATAAACTATGAAATCCTCATAAATTGACAACTAAGAACGCAATTATTTTGTAAGTCGGGTGATTTGAAAAACATGTTTTAAATAGTCGGTAGTTACTTCATAAGCGTGTAAAATAAAATGACTCGAGATTTCTATGGTCGCCACAAACATTGCAAATATACTCAGGTATCGAACCATTAAGAAATCACAGTTAATTACTTTTTTACTGTTTTTATCTTATTTAAGTTGGTTGAAATGCATGAAGCAAATGAGATTATTCTAAATAATAAATAACTAGAACTAAAATATAAATAAAAGATATTATAGGTATAAATAAATCTAAAGTATTTACTATTAAAATTAACATAAGATTTAGAACAATAGGAAAGGAAAAAAAAAGAAAAGATTTAATTGTTTCTAATTTCAAATTTCAAATATTTGATAAATTAATTCTAAAACAACATGTGAATGTTGGAATCGATCCGGCGGCACTTTACTTGACAATTGGAGGCGATAACCATTGCGCCAAGCGCGCTGTAGATGAGATCATCGAAATATTTTATATCATTCAGTAACATAAAATTACAATGAGAAAGCACTATATTTATATGGGTATTGTATAGCTCGATCGTTCATTATTTTTGATTTCGATTTATTCAAAGTTTGTTATGAGTAATTTTATCTTTACCCTCGTTTTTATTTAAACTTATTTACTAAATTATTGCGTATACCGACACAAAAATGATTTTTAAATACCAAGATGTGTGTGATAGACGAATGTTTCTATACATATCTATTGATATGAAATTACCCACACATGTATATTGTGTAAATGATAGTTGTGTCGATGTGTAGCGCCGCTAACTAATTAGCGGTGCTTTGTGTACATACGAGCAAGGCGTTTTAGTTTCGATTCCCAAGTGTTGGACAAAATGTTATTAGATTTTCAAAAAAAAAGAGTTCGGTATCAAAATATTTATTGTAGCAACAAGCCAACCTTCTCACAGGAAAGTCTAAACAGCTGCTCAAAATGGATATTAAATAGTGTTCAATTGGACATAAATAAATTATATACGTAGGTTAACCAGTCTGATATACATTTTACCGTCATTCCATTTATTATAATATTTTCCACACATTGAATTCTAATTCTTCATAGTTTATAAATAGAATCTAGAATCGAATGGTATTATGTATTATATAAATACATATATTCATATGTTACCACAATTTACTGCACATATTTTCATTATGAACTAATGTCTAAAGGCTACATGACATCGCCCAGATAAACTAACCTAAAACAGATGATGTCACTGCACTTTGATAGACAAACATTTGTTTTATTATACAGGCTGGTATTTTAACTAGAGATCGAATGAAACATAAGATAGTTTATGCTTCATTATTATTAGCCTTTTCCGGGGAAGATTAAAAAAAAATCCGCTAGGGGCAGCACCGGTGGGGGGGTACATATGTTTTGAATTCTCTATTGACAACAACGTCAAACGTGTAGAATTAAAATGGAATTAACTGAAGATGATGTACCTTTTTTTATTTTATCAATTGTTAAATCTGTCCTTCGTGATAAGTGTATCCACTCCAAACACTTTTTTTTGTTAACTT